AAACAGTGGCTTCTCAGACTTGAGCATTTGAGTGGCAGATACAGGTTTTAATTTTCCATAATTTTCCTGATTGAGGTTAGATATCTCAGACAATCGAGTACAAAATGTAGGATAAAGTAATATAGTTTACATTATTAATTACACTTAGTAGCAAACTTGTTAAAAGGGGAAGTGTTAGGAGATTAAGCTTTTTTTGTCACTCATGCTACTTTTTTTTCTTGTGAAATTCTCAAATGTAAAAAAAAAAAAAAAGATATACACAAGTTTTCTATATAAACTAAGAATTTATGTACCAAAAGGAACCTTGAAAGAAAAACTACTGCAACGATTTTTGTTTCGTTTGTTTTTTAGGTCTTACTGATCGGGAGTTAGTACTCGCTTTGTTTCTAATCTGAAAAAGAATATGCCAGTATTACAATTCTTTATTCCTTTTAACGAAAACACAATCCTTCAAATTTAGAGCAACATGGGAAATGGCTTGTTAAGCTTCTAACCTGCTGCTGTTAATCAGGCCTTGGACAGCACCAATAAGGAACGTGAGAAAATACCTGCTTACAGTCTTAAAACATAACTGGGCTTTTACTGTGGGTCTTAGCTTCTCGCGGCTTAATTCGGCGAAAGCAACAACCGAAGCTGATTGTCCAAGCGTAGGAGGATCGGCTTGGCGAGAAGCAGGAAGGGATGCTATTTGCTTTATGGCGATTACGTAACACCTCGCTTGCTTCCCTCTCAGCGGAATGCCAAGGATACTGTTTGTAAACAGAAAAGCCATGTGCGTATCCTCACGTGGCAGAAGGTTTTGAGTCGCTGCCCACGCTGTCTCACCCTTGAGGTAAACCCTGACATCAATACATGTTCACAGAGCCAGCAACACTCAACAGCTCCCCAAACATGGCCTTATCATGCTCGGCCCATAATTACGCTTTGGCTCAGACAGCGGCGCAGGACATCACGGAAGAGGAAGACCATAGTGCACATTTACGATCGCATGTGAGGTAGTAATTAACGGACACACTTTTGTATCTCTTATGAAAGACCGACTAACAGGCCTGCCACAGGCAAGGATCACAAAGTTTATCTGGTATTTTGAAATATTCTTGAGCCTACAGTAAGTTAATAAAAAAAAAAAGATGGGCATCTTAAAGTAACCTCTAGTAGATTAGGTAAGTTGGTAACATTAAGACAAATCTTTACATGTCTGATGCATAAGATGGTCAGTTTTAAGAAGGAAATAGCCTTTTCTTTTTCTTAGCAGAAGCTTGGAAAGTTTAAGTCCTGTGCAATGTTTATAGTAAATTATGTGAAAATGTCTAAATAATGTGACGGAGTGATTATTTTGCACTTGCACAAGACTGAGGTTTCCTTTTATTCTCTTGAAGTCCATGGAAAACAAACTCTCCATTGGCAGACAACAGAAATCAATATTGCGGCAATCAATACAACTCTCTTTACTCGCCATTTTGTCTTGCCATCTATAAGCAGTGCATTCTAAAATGTCTAACCCAACAACATTGAGCATGCTTCTGTATTGCTTCTGCTGCAGACACCCCCTTGGTTGGAAAAATGATACTTGGGCTGGACAGAACAGGGTCAAAGGTGAGGGCATGGGCAACGGCTTGGGTATTGTAGCCAAATAGCATTGTTGTACTGCATGCACTATGGCAACTGGACATTCTTCCCAAAGGTAATATTGTCTGTGCCCTAGGAGTGACTTAAAGGGGCTTACCGCCATGACGAAGAAACTATCCAACTGCGCGGCTTTATCTGTAGGTGTAGATAGATGAGATGAGCTCTGCGCATCTGATTGATCTGTATAGCCCATCCCCCACTCAGCCCCCTGTAACCCTATTAATGCTGCTGCCCTTTCAGCTATTTATGTCAAAGGAGGCATGCAGAGACCAATAAAAATTCCTATTGTAAAAATCCCTGTTGTAATGTTTTTTAGGTCATAATTGGGATGTGCAAGCTGTTCATTCGGTGCCACCGAAGTCTAGAAAATGACACCTGCTGATGTCTGAAAGCAGTTTAATTCCAACAATGTGACTTATAAAATCCATTGTTGGACGCTTTTAATGGACGTCGTTGCCAAAATTGTTAAAGGGGCAAGGGGAGTATTGTCATTTATACAAGTATGTACATGCACAGATCCATCACCTGAAGTTATGCAGTCACAACACACTTAAATACTACCATATATAACAAGCTTAGGCACATGTGTTGACACTGCATGCTCAGTGACCGTGCTTGCTAAGTGGATTCGATGAGTTCACCACAAGGAAATTTGTTGCACTACATTTTTGTAGTGATTCGAGACAGGTACTTGCTCACAAAATTATTTTTGTGGTAAAAGATACATTGTTTGCCTTAATAACCACAGGGGGGAAAAGATTTATGAGGATGAGGAAACATTAGGAGGATAGTGGTAATAAACCGTCATCAACTGCTCTCATAAAAGCTTGGAAACAACAAGCAGCTGTCTTTGTTTTGAACTCAATGCCCTTATTTCTTCTTCAGTGCCCTCTGTATCCATCCACCTCAAAGTGTCACAAAGATCTTCTATGGTACAGATGTCAAGCACATTGCTGCTCCTGTTGGCTGCCTACACTGTTAGGTTACAATAAAGGTCAACCACCTTATAGACAGTTTTTTATATTGTTGTGACCTAAGGCTGAACTGCAGCTGTATTACAACTGCAAGCAGTAGAATACACAAGCCCAAAACACAAACCCTGTAGGAGATCAGTCGTATTCAAATGTACCACTTTAGATGTTAATCTTCAAGAAGCTGTTAGTGAATTCCAGGAAAAACTAACAACCAATTAGATGTTTGCTGACAATGTTTGAAACATTTCCATAGTTTTAAACAAACCATCTCGTACAGTCTAGTGACACCATTGCATAGTTATATGCAGTTTATCTGTTTATCCATGTAAAACCCAGATGAGTGAAATAGGCGTAGGATGAAAATGCATTTGATTCCTCATTTTTCAATTGGAAATGAATTTTACTTCAGGCCTACTTTTTAAATTGTAGAATCTATTTTGACGTTTCAGGCCCTAATTTTGTACACAAGGATTTCTTCCATTTGTTAACTGTTTGACTGGCATGGATTCATTCATTATTTGTTCAGATATGTAGTCATAAGAATAGTCATAACGGAATGCATATTTTGGAACATGCCTTACTCCCCATTTCCATTACAGCCAGTTATCACTCATAAAATGCTACAGATTATTATCTCTAGTCAAACTAAAATAACTATTATTTCAAGAAGCTTTAAGAAGGAAATAGGCTTTTCCTTCAGTCACCTTCGTAAATAGGAGGTTGCAGAAAATTATTTTGAAATGTTTCCCTGACGGGACACAACTGATCAATGGCCAGCATAAAACATACCACAGCAGTCAGTTTTAACTTTGACCAGAAATAATGAGATGATTTATAAAAATGACAAAAGGCTAAATGGCTAGATTTTTTCAGCATGAAGAATTGGTTGTCAGTTTGTCTTTTCAGGAAATTCAGACCCTCATTTTGTACCCAAGCAATAGTGTAATATTCATATTAAAAGAACCTCATACCTAAAAAAAATAATAATAATTAAGTGCTGTCCCACTCTTCAGGGCACTAGCTTAAATAATGATACTTAAGATTACATAGTGTAGCAAATTGTGGACATAGTATTGCTACCACAATATATTTGAAGGTTTTCAAAACATATTTTTTCAGCAGTGCAATAAGATATTAATTGTTCTAAGATGAAAAGAATGATTTTAATATTACTCAAACTTTTTTCATTATGTTGAGATAGGGCAATATCTTCTTTCTGGGTTAGCATTGCCATGCTTCCACACATTTGAACTGATCAGGAAATGTAGATAATTGGTTCACTGATTCCTATTTCAAACATATTCCTCTACAATGAAAGCAGTTCCTCTTTTAGAAGGCCCGTCGGAGAAAACATCCTGAGAACAGTAGCCCTGTTGTTACATTTACCTGCTTTCAGTGCATAAGAGTATGCTTTCATGAGCAGTCAGAAAATGTTACTTCCAGTGTTGTTACTGCTTATTGTTCTCCTGAGACAAGTCTTTTTAAGTAAACCTCTGCTTCAAAATTAACATTTGTGTCCTGCTTCAGTTAATGGTGTTGTAAGATTGGGTTTCATTTAATTTAGCGCTGTCTGACCTTCTCTTACTGCCTTCCACCACCACAGTTCTCCTCTGTTTTTGCCTCTCCTTGGGATTTGCCTTTGTGTCTGTGTGCGTGTGTGTGTGGGCGTGTGCGCGGGTGTGCGTGGGTGTGCGTGTGTCATTCAGTGGTGAAAGCAACGAAAGCTGATTCACAGAGATACACACAAAGCCAGAAGCTATTTCTGCTCTGCTGCTGTGCAGGCACTATCCCCGCCGTGCTGGACGAGTCCAGGTTGGACTTTTACTCTACCATTTATAATCCCACAGAACATACAAAGCAAAAGATTTGACACTAATAGATTTTAGGTAGACTAAAAAATAAAATATTGTTAATTTGTAATAACCATTAATTACACATAAATATATATATATATATACATTTTATTTTTCAAAACATACTCATTGAATAGGAGTTCTATCCTAAAAACTCATATATAAGAACATGCATCTATTTTAAAGGACTTGGACCAGAGAGTGTTTTTATGATGAAAAGCAAGAGGCACAGTGGTATTTAAATTATGCCTGAAGAAAAACTCCTGAACAAACTGCACAGCATTTTCTGTGAGCCATTTAAAATAAGCATAGCAAGGAAACAAGATAGCAGCCTCCACATTCAGCTGGCAAAACCACAAAGAAAATTGTCAGCCATGTTGAAGTAGCTTTATCTAATATCCCCTCCTTATTATGTTGGCTCTTGCTTTTTACGGTGAGGGACATCTGCTCTGTCTCACCTGACCACAAAATGAAAGAAAAATACTCTCAAGGTTACAGACATGGAGGGGTCAAAAGAGGAGTAACAAACTGAGCACGTTCTTACCTTCTGTTTATGTCCCTCCACTTTGTAGAAATTCCAGCAAATTGTCTGGATCGCCTCTTTAACAAATCCTAAAGGGCAGCCATCTTGCCTCCTTCTGTTCTATGAAACAGTCTATGCTCCACATCAATATTCATGGAAACCAGTCTGACGTTGGCTCTCATCATCAGGAGAAGCCCGGGTGTCGCTGTTTTGCCGGCTGGAGGAGCATACTTGTGTGTCAGTCGAGTGTAAGGCAGCTATGGTAAATATAAAAGCGGACAAGATCTTGCTGTGGCTCAGGGAGAAGAGCCCCTCTGTGGCAACAACCTATGAACAGAGAAAAAAATTAATTCACAAAAACACTTTCCTGCTGAGTCCTCCTCACACAAAGATACAGGTTTTCTTTCCCCGTCAGCTCCCTCTTTTTTTTCTTCCTTCCTCAGCCGTACACAATAGTGAACACTTTGATGGCTGCCCTGAAGCACTGGAGTGGATTTCTGGATTACAAGACTCCACCCCCACAACCAGTGCACTTTTTGTTCAATATGCATGGGTCCCAACTGTCTGACTGTGGCAGAGCAGAAGCTGCCTTCTGCCTCCACCCCTTCCTTTTCTCATACAGGAAGCCAAAGTGACTCAGGGTTTTTTCCCTCCCTTTCTCATTGCCTAACTTGAGGTTTTCTTTCTTTTTTTTCAGTTGGAGGTTAAAGGACTTTCCATTTTGTATAAAAGGATGGCACAGTTACCATCAAAAACAGCCGGTTTTTAGTTATTTCAGGCAGCTGTATCTTATTTTGGAACACTGCTGGCTCATATTTAGACGAATTCTGCAGCTTGTGCACAGGAAGCACAGTTTGCCTCTTACCTCTGCCAAAGATCTTCCTCCCCCTGTTGACACTGGCCACGTGGGCTTAAGAGAGATCTCTATCTCCTTCAAGCATTCATGAACTTTAACTATATTTATATATATATATTTATATATGCGTGTGTGTGTGTGTGTGGGTGTGTGTGTGTCATGTTTCACTCAGAGTTCAAGGGTGTCATGTAGAAGATCAGACACCCAAAAAGAGTTGGATAACACTTTCGTTTTACCATTAAATTCCTTTTCAACTAACAGGTGTTCCTTCTCTGAAAATAATCTGCTTTTTGCTGAGCTTCAGGCTTAAATAGGAGACCCCACCTCCTTCCCCGAAGCCCCTGCCAGGCTGTAGTGACATTTGTTGACTCAATACTTTCAGAGCAGAAAAGTAGATTTGTTTTTACACAGAATGGGGGAGGGGGAGAGGCAAAGAGGAAGGAGGAGTCAAATCTGGACTCCAGCACAGATCGTGCACAGATGGAATAAACCCTTCCTCTCTGGAGTGCTACTTATTACTTCTAAAGGGCAATGTGGATGTGCAGATTATCTGATATCTGCTTTATGTTATAGTGAGAATAGTTCACTAAATAGTCACAACAAAATTAAATGTTTATAGTTAGAAAAAAGCTTGAGGTGTTTCTGCTTGATATAAGTTGGCAAGGTAGAGAGAACGTATCAGAATACAGTTAAAATAACACTTTGTACCAAGTAATACAACATTGAGTTTACTGTTTTAAGAGCTATACTTTCAAACAAAGACCCAAAGCATAAAGCCAAATTAATTGGAAAGTGACATAGGAATAACAAATTTTGGAGTGGCTCTTAAAAAGCTCTGATCTTAGTCATACCGGCAATTTGTATGCAGAGAAACAGAAGAAAGTTTCATTGGATTTAATATCAGACAGAGAGAGAAAAGGTTCTGTCTTTTCAGACAGGATATGTAAACATCTGGTTTCAACTGTATAACAAAATTGTCTTGAACTTTCAGATGTTCTTATGTCATGTATGACCTACAACTTCTATTAGGTAAGACTATTGACACCAAATTTAAGATTACTTGTACATATGTTAATAGCAAATAAATGAAGAGCAGTCATTTCCCTGCCACCACCATATCTGCTATGTGAGTGTACCTCTCATTAGTGCTGTAGGTCGTTCAGTTGTTGTTTGGACGGGTAAACTTCCTTCCATCTCATTTTTCTCAGGTTCCCTCTGAAAAACAGTCAGTTCAGTCAGCATATATGAAGAATAGTAATCCATATTAAAATCAAAAAGAGTAGTTTTACACATCTTGCAATCAAAGATGTCACTTTTTTTGCCAATTAATGTGTCAATTTTTTTTCCAAAACCAAATAAGTCTCTTATTAACCAGCCAAATGTGGCTACAAAACTATCAAATGAATGAATTATATATTTTTGATTTATGTATTTAAAACAATACACTTAATGTACTGTGGATGTCAAATTCCTCACTTCAGTCGTAAACACAATGGCAAAAAAAATTTCGTGTTACATTTATATGCAACATAAATGTATATAAATAGCATCTATCAACAGCAATGTATCAAAATTACATTTGATACATTTAAGGACCTGTAAGTGGAAGGTACTTGAAATGTAATTCTGTCTTTTTGTGATTTTGATAAAATCACACTGCCAAACAAATAAGTGCAGACAGTTTGGAATCATAAATGGAGCATTTATTAATGCTTTCATTGATCCAAAGCAACAGAAAAAATTTTGAGCACGAAGGGAAACAAACCATTGTTAGTTTCTGAAGTTATCCAACATCATCATTGTTTATTGCTAATATCACAGGAGGAAATTTTTTCCATGTGAATTAATTTTTGCCCATTCCTTGTACAAGTCTGTTTGTCTAGCTTAAAGATTAATTCATTGATATATACATTTTCTGAAGTGTCATGTTCTTGAATACACAGGAAGAAAATTATCTCCAACTGAATGGAGTCTGCACATGAGGGCAAGCACATAATGCAATATCCCAACAGATAAGATTATTCACTAAAAATGCTCTCACATCTATTTACAGGAAAATGCAATACAGTCTTTGTCTGAGCCTGACTCAATAGAGAGCATTTAGCAGCTTAAGAAAAAAATCCACAATACAAAAAATGTTGTCTTTTGTCAGCTGCTAATACATTTACTATCATCTTGTACACTCAAATTTTAGGCCCAAATCTTCTAAAAATTTAAAAGATAATTAGTGACTTGCATAAAAATCCATCAAACCACACAGGACCCTTCAAACTGCAGAGTAAGGGCTTCTTTTGACAGTAAGTTGTGCAAAAAAAGTTGTTTTTGTCAATAATCAAAAAGATAAACAGATAAAATAGTTTAAGCAGCTCTATTTCACAGGCAATTAATTTCTACTCTTATAACCAGTTTTATTGGCCAGCTGAGTTAAGTACCAGCAATCTCACTTGATTTTGCATACTATGGAAATTTTTAAGCAGAAATTTCTTCAGCATAGAGCTGTAGTTTGGTCACAGCATGGCCTCTGGTTTATCAGCTGCAGCGAGACCAATTAGCAGTCTTTAGTTAGTTAGCAGTGTAGCTAGCAAAAGCTTTCAAGGCACATCAGGAATCAGAGGAAAATGATTGAAAATTGTCATTTTGCTGAGTTTTAGCATTAATAACTGAGTTGTTATGACATAAAATCAGTGTACGTAGTCATGTTTCACTTAAGTTTTCTTGTGTAAATAGTCTCAGCTGGTTGCATGCCAGGCAGATTCATTGCTCCACAGTTGTTTCTCCATGAATGAATGAGATGACACAGAGCCAGACCGAGGAGCTACACACAGTTTGTTTTAAACACACTGGCATGAGCATTTCATGAAACTACCTGTATGTGAGCAGCAGCACAGGTGGTGGAACAGGAGAGCTGGTTCAGAGCTTCAGATGCTTAAAAATTATAAGAAGCAAAACATGTCTCTCCTGTTTAGTGACGCAGCTGCTGTGACATCTGCTCCAAACACACTGCTGTTGTGTACAGACTGTACAGTCTCTGGTGCATGCTCCGCCCACAGCACACTCACAGAGCTGTTGTTATTAACGATGGTGGAGAGAATTAATACTAGAAAGCTGATTAGACTGGACCGCAGCTGATAATGGATCAGCCAAGTCAAATTTACTCTCCGACCTCAACCTTGCTGCTCTCCTTTGCTCAAAATGAATTAGATAACTCAGTTTTAATCTTGATTCCAAAATGATTGTGTACTGGGGAAAAGAAGAGACAAAGCTTCTTAATATTTGTATTATATATCTTAGCTAAAATAAGATATATAGTATAGTATTCTAATCTATTTGGACTAGAATACTATTTTGACTGCAATGGCTCTGGGTCATTTCGTCTCTTGGCCAGTTTGCATGCCGATTTTGTCAACATGCACTTTATACCAAAAATGAACAGACGCACATTACTTTTTAATTTTTTTGTTGTATAGTTTAAACTATAAATATAAATATATACATTTATATAGAAATATACAAAACCATATTTTCTTACTGCATTTCTCACTATTAGACTAAGCTTTTTTGGCTTAAAAAAAAAGTTAAACATTATTTTGATAAGCTAAGTACCAGAAAACATATATATATATATATATTATATATATATATATATATATATATATATAAAACTTCATTAGTTTTTTTCAATACTTTCATTAAATTCAAATGTTTACATTTTTTCCACTCCTATGTAAAATGGCCTTTTTAACTGTATAACGTGGCTCAAATGTCTTGGTTACAAGCTTCTCACAAAGGTTTTGCTAGAATTTCATCCCATTCCTCTGGACAATCTGGGGAAATACTGTTCTTAAATCACTTCCTAAACGTTCTATTCTTTCAGACGCAACTCTAATAGTGTTGGCATTAGTGGGATTAATAGTCACACAACAACGTGTTAATCTGTGAAACACCAAACCTCTATATGGGTGCTCCCTTACAAATACATCAAATGGCATGCCTGCATTTTCAGAAATGCTTTAAATTAACTAATCAGCAGCTTACAAAGAACTTGGACCATTATCTGGGCTTTCCCATATTGCTAAGTGGGATAGTAAACTCAACTCCTTTTCAGGTTTTTGTTCCCATGGAGCCCCTTTTATAGATTACGTTGTCATTTCACACCATACAACTTGATCTGCCAAGTTGTATGCTTTCAGTTCATGCGGGGGTGTTTCAGAACCAAAGGGGTGTGGCCTACAACTCATAACACTGGGTTTTATCTGTGACTCAGTCCTCATATAAAGAAAAGTTGTCACCCTCAAATTAATATTTTCTGCATTAGCTTCTGCTAATCAAGATATTTCTGATGTAGGAGAGACGGTTCAGAATCTCTCCACTCTGTGTACACCAGTAGACTTGTGCCCCTACTGCGTTCTCTTTTGATTTGTGCTACTTCACTTCTTCAACAATCCCTTGCTACTAGCCCTGATAGCTCATTGCAGTTTATGGTCAGTATCTCACAAGGTAGATCAGAGGTGCAACCTTAGTGGATTCACTTCAATCCACTGGTCCATGTCTCGACCTTTCACTTAATTGTGAGGTATATTTCGAATAAATATAGTCATGGAACAGAAGAACAATCTCTGAGGGGTGTGAGAGTGTGTGTAAATGTTCAGCTTTAAAGTAAGTAATTAAAGAAATTGCAATCTTAAATCTTGTATTTTTCCCTTTTTTCTCTTTTACAAAAGAAAAAAAAAATCCTGCAGGTCACTGAATGAAGGTACAACACTAGAAATTGCAGTTTTCTCTATCACTGTTTGCACTAGCAGAAGCATTCTGGCAGAAAAGCTTCTGGCTGAGCTTCTTGTTAGTCTTCTTCCTCCAACAGCTACTGTAATTTGTAAATCTTGTCATTGCTCTCCGCCTGTCACATTTCAAAGGAATGCAGGCGTGTGCCGTCACCTCATGCGTAAACACAGAGCCCTGACCTCAGACTGACCCAGGGCAATCAAAATTTAGGCACACTTGTCACTTGACTGCTTTCCCACCTAAAATGCTCAAAACGTGTCAGTTGTTCTCACTTTCTTTGACAGTGGGCCAAGTTATGATTTGGGCTTTTGATTAGGAATCTGTGTATGAAAAAAGTATTTTTAATTGTAATAGTATTAATAATAGAATATGTTTTGTTTTTCTTTTCACATAACGACAGGTCTGCTAGACAATTGACAAAAATGTATTGTATTGTTCTACACTTACTTTTTAGTACAATGTAAACACGGTACATAGTATTAGCGTCTAAGCAAGACAAATAATTTTCCAACTATAAAAAAAATTGGATAATGAAAAGTACACAAAACGTTTCAAACTGTACCTTCATGACCTGGATGTGAGATCCCACTATGTTGTTGTTCCTTATTTGATGCTAATTATTTGGCCCTAATGAGGTGGAGACTTTCACTAACGACAGATTTGTGATGAATCCATTGATTTACAACTTCCTCCAGCTCGGCCTCTGAGTTGGGGGACTTTTTGAAAGCTAGTGGAGCTCATCATGAAGCCGAGAAAAGTGTCACCTCTCACAATCACTCATGGCTCAGCACACATCTCACCTGGGGCAATCTACACATACAGCAGTTTATGTGGGGGTAATAACTAGGCATAATCTGCTTCAGCCAATACACAAAATTAGTGGCCCCACGCCCACCCCCTACCTCACCAAGTAGATGCTGCTCCTCCTCCTGTAGTTATCTACAAAGACAAGGGAGAGTTGTTAGTGTGGGTCTCACATAGCCCAGTTGTTTAGACCTCAGCGGGGGTTCTGGTTACAGGGTAGATAGGGGGAGATGCAATACACACACAAGCAGAGTGAATACAAATCAATTAATGTCCAGCATTCCTGTGGTAAAAGCCTAATAACTTGAAATTATAGGTGTTATGCCCTCTATGTCATTTTTTTTGTTGTTCTTCAATCTTTATGCTGTTTTGCAATCTCTTTTTGTGAGGACATCTGAGAGCAATTTCATTAATTAACTCCCTTTTGCACAGCAGGGTTGGGAACTGATCACATCCAACAGGTGATCCTCAATAAAGAAACCACCATAAGATGCGAAGATGTCCTGCTCCAAGCTGAAGTTTAAACTATTGTCATTCAACTCTTATGCTATATTAAGAGTGTCCACATACAATTATTACTCTAAAATTATTCCAAAGTTCCACTATGTAGATGAAAAAGATTAAACATATGACACCTGGTATTGGTCTGCATCTATATTGATCACAGTTGTGTAATGATCAACACTAAATGATCAACACTAATAAAAGATTTCAAAGTAAGTCACAATTTCAATTCTACTAACATTGATATTCACTACAACATGCACAGTCATAAATTGGGGCAGGAGGAAAAAACACCCTCAGCTGGCTAAGTAACCAATCAGTCTCTTTCTGATGGAAACTCAGTTTTCAAACCAAACTTGATTCTCCATTATAGCTCTGGTTTTATATTTAGGCTTCATTTTCCTGTTAAAGGTGAACTTCTGCCTCAGTCTCAGGTCTCTGGAGGAATACATTTTTATTTCATTAGCTGTTTCTCTGATGAATCACTTTGTCTGACCTGTCACGTTAGCTGGAGCCATGTTTTAGTAGGCTTGAAGTTGTGCCATAATCTTAAAATGTTCAGATGATGGACTTTCCCTGAGATATGTTTTTTTTTAACATAACCCTGCTTTCAGCTGACCTGTCCGCTGGGTGCCTGGGTCGTCATGAGGCTGTTTGCTCACTAATGTTCTCTACAAAACTCCTGAGACTTTCTCAGTATTCATTGCCCTCAATTTTATTCAAGGGCAAGGGGGACTGAACACGAATATAAGTGACACTTTTCAGATTTTCATGTGCGAAAGACTTACAAAAACATGTGTCAGTTTTATTTCACTTCACAATTATGCTCTATTTTTTCTATCACTTCAAAAACTAATAAAATACCACAACATTTCGCAGTTAAAATATAACAAAATGTGAAAAATTTAAGGATTGTGAATATTTTTGCACTATACCAGATACTGATTTAGTTTTGCACATTGCTTTTTGATAGTATTTGCTACTCCTTTGTTTGCATTACTTTATTAATATGTATCCTGGCTTTGTGAGTCCACCGCTCAAACAGAAAATAAAACATATTTTCCATGTATTGTTCTTTTTGTGTTGGATAAAGGAGTTTTTAAATGATTTTTTTTTTCATTGTAACAACTAACACTTTGACTTTATTCACTTTGACACAGATAGCGTCGAGACTTACTTGTTGAGTCTGGAAATCATGTCTCATTTTGCAGCCGCTCTGCCATCACAGATGTGACGTGTGTCTCTGTGAATGAACAAACATGAGATAAAGTTCCTCCATGGGCAGACATCTGGTATGCAACATTTGTGACTGTTAAACAACACAACAGAAGCCTTGGTTGGTTGAAACAACATCCCGATTCACCATCAGTACACAGGTGGCTTCTGGACCCCCACCCTCGCACCCCATCTGCCTACCAACTGTCCCAGTATTGCAGTACTGTTGCAGCAGCTAGGACACAGCACACTACTGTATCTCTCCATGTGACACAACTACTGAGACAGCAACTTCAAAGATTTCATAGTTTTGAAAGTTTTCTTATTCTCAGGAGTTAAGAAAGCTTAAATATGAAGCTTATCAGCACATTCAGGATATAAGTCAAATAATTTCATTTCAAGACATGTGTCAGTAGAAACAACACATTTTAAAGACATTTGTATCTTATATTAGCCCTGTAGCAATCTGGATTTCAACTGTATATATTTATTTATTTGTCCGAGATTACTAATGAAAATGAGTAATAGCTAATCTTGCTTTAGCTTTTTATTAGGTAGCAGTAGCAATAACGTATTGCAGTAAGTCTGGTGCAGCACAGTTTTACAAGTGCATTTGCAGACTTAGTATTGAAAACACTCACCTAGCATGCTGTTAGTGAAGAATTACTTTGAGCTTGAGCTCACTAATCAGTTTCATTTATCAGCAGCGAAGCTCATATCGGAGTAAACATTTCAGTGTCGACACAGTTCAAGAGAAAATGTTGTACGAAATCGATATTGACTAAACCTCTATACCTTTTTATCCCCTGCTGCTTCGCCGTCCATCTGCAATGGCGCCAGTTCTTTGTCACAATTTTACTTTGAAAACAACTTCCTGTTGTGGCGTCTTTTCAGAAAGTTGTACAATATATAAGGTGGACATAGATATATATATACACTGCTCAAAGAAATAAATAATATAGTAACACAACCTAGATCTGAATGAATGAAATGTTCTCATTGAATACTTTGTCCTGTTGTCTATTCAATTTGCACGACAGCAGGTGAAATTGATTGTCAATCAGTGTTGCGTTTAAGAACAGTAAGGAAAAATTGACTTTTCAAGACAAATTTCGAGCTATTCAAACAACAAGAGAAGACGGGTGTTTGAGGAAAGTGCGTAAGACAAACTGTGACATATTCCAACTATAACAACGCTGATTTATTCTAAGACGAACTTAATGAATAATGAGCTCAATGCTTTTGAGAAAAAGCCTTCAACTTATTAAATTGTGTTTTGTCACAACGAAAATCTACATATGCTTTCAACTAAAAGTCAAGTAGATGTGGTCCCATTTACCACCAACATAGTTTTAAGAGAGAATTACGTTTTGAACCTAATAAAGATTGCAAGACAATTAAAATTTTTGGTTATAATTTTGCCCTAATTGAAACTAAACATTTTTCCTCTGCATCATTCACCTGGCAATCCAAATATGTATCATTTTTGGATTGCATGGAAAGCCACATGGAATTAGTCAAAGGGCAACAGATGGTTCTTGGCTATGCAGCACTGTGGACTGGCTGGTTTAGATTATTGCATGTTAATTTTGAAAATAGAAAATGTGCTGGAGTTTCATTCTTTAAATATGCAAAGCCAATAGTGAAATACCCCCAATTGGTTTGCAGCAAAATTATGTTCCACATAAGAGTGATTAAGTCCAATGGATACCACACTATTTTATTTGAAAAGACGAATGAAAACCATGTTTTATTTTTATTTCTCAAGACAGAACGCAACTTTGTCTTGATCAATCTCGTAAAAACCCACTAACATACATTGAAACTTGTGGTTGTATGACAGAAAAAAACACTTGCTCAAATCTTTTGCAAAACATGTCTGAGGAAATTATCTTGCTGGCCAACTGTCTGACAGCAACAACACCTTCCTTTCCTTTAGCTTTATCTGAGTGCTGGCAGCTGAGATGGACTGATAGCACAGACACAAAATCATCTTCTAACTTGCCGGCGGTTGTCGTGGGGGATGTAAAAACTACCTGATGGTTATTTTCACAATCGCAATTCTGCAATTTGAGCACAGAAAGAAAGACAAATAATACAATAAAAATTTACAATAAAGAAGGAAGTTCTATGACACAATACTGCTCTCACAAGGAGTAGAATCTCTCTTTCTGCTCTGTATCTGGAATTTTGAACAAAACATTGGCTAAACAGTTTCAAGTAGGTCTGATGTACAGACCATAGACATTTGTACTCTTAAAAGGGTAAACATGACATTTGTATATATATATATAAATACAATAGATGATAAATTCACAGAGAATTTACTGTGCTTTCTCCTAATTTGGCTCCTCGCATTAATTTTGAACAATTTTGTTTTTGCTCTTAACTACATCCAGTTCCAGAGTTCAGAAGAGAAGTTAAATATCTTTTATATATTTGGTATGACGGTAACAAATTCTTCCTATACAAGATGCTCAAAGCAGACATGAGGTTGCATATTAATGCTTCATATCCACTGAGTCACTGGATAGTGCTTAATGTCTTTATGTACATTTTTGAGCATGTATAGTGCCATCTACTTGTTGTTTTTTAAACTGAATTTGGCACAACTTGCAGGCATCACCAATGTTAGACTTGCAAATACTCATGATTGCTGCAGCATAACAAGTAGAGATTTTGATGAGGATGTTTTTTTCAAAAATGTTATGCCCATAAGGTGTACATACAAAACAACATACAAACATTCACTTTTTAAGAGGCTTTCAAATCACATACATAAAAAACACATTTTTAAAAAGATTGAATAATCTTTTATTAATTTCATGTTTTCATTGGTTTTATTCTTTATTTACTGATGTTTCTTGGTTTCTGTGTTTGTCATCTATAATAAATAATAGTAATGACAGTTTCAAAGACTGCCAAATATGCAATAGATCTATCCTATTTTAATTCAACTCTTGCCCTTTATTTCTGTCTGATCTATGAGAATTGTTTTAGATTTATTGTGCTTGTGGTGCCCAGCAAAAATATTCACACCCCTTCATCCTTTTTCATGTTCTGCTGTGTTAGACCCACAAAATATATCACCATAAAATATGAATAATTATGAAAATAATTATGCAGTGGAATATATAAAAACAGGTAAGTTTGTTTTAAAATTAGTTTGACAAATACAAATCTCTAAAGTGTGGTGTGCATTTAAATGTACAAGTCAACACTTTCTTATCTGTGCTAAAGAAAAGACCCCCTCCCCACACCATGTCTCAGTTTGTAAATGGTTTGTTCAGGGTGATGAACAATGTTAGTTTTCTCAACATTTATCCAATTTCCATGTAGACCCAAAAGATCCCAGTACCAGAATCAAACAAGAGGAGGCAGCATTCAGTTTCTTTGCTCCTTAGCTCCAGTACAAAATCCTTTAAAACCTGCAGAAATGATTAAATCTGGACTGAAATCATCTTGCTGCAGTCCTAGATCACAATATCTCACCAATCAACAGTTCTCCCGATAACTGAGGAGTGATTAAAGCATAAAAATTTGAATTAAATTAGCCTTTGAGCTTCATATGCAGGGCTTTCCAAGGTGTAAAAGTATTTTGCTAATTTAAAATGTTTGATTTGAGTTTCTGTAATGCACCTTTGCTGAATACCTGCCTCTTTTCATGTATGGATGTTGGGCTGATGAGTTCTCCATGAGATATTATTTTATAACCTAATCTTGCTTTAAACTATGACCTGAAGTCATAGTTTCTGGTCATAGAAATTCTGACCATCAAGTACTGATACAGTATTGCATACTGATACTGATACGTAGCTGATGGATACAGCTGTATTTATACAGACAGTATTTTTTAGCTTATTATTGGAGACAAACTTGTACTGAATTTAATTTAAGATGAACAGCGGCACATATCCCATGATGGGGTAGTTCGTCAGGGAGTTTGCGCGTCCTTCTATTGCCTGGGTTCTCCCGGGGTACTACGGCTTCTTCCCACAGACTAATATGACTGTTAGGTTAATGGGTTTCTCTAAATAGCCCAAGTGTGTGTCTCTGTGTGTGAGTGTGTGCACACTGTTGTCTCTGTATTGCCCTATGATCGATTGGTGACTTGTCCAGAATGCACTACATCTTTCGCTTATTGACTGTAAGAGATAGGCATCAGCCCTATCTGATGTCTATCAGATAGAGCTATAGAAGAGGATATAGACAATTGTTGAATGGATTGTGGGTACCAGAAGAAAAGAGGATGACTTCAAATGCCTGACACTTTCCAGATTTTAATTTAAAAACATTTTGAAATCTCTTTGCGACTTTCGCACCAATTGGCTTTCAAGCTCTCTTTCTCCAAAAGCCCATTTCTGCAAATATTAAACAGGTACAGCATCTTGCAATTTAGGGACACAACAAATCCATTAATCTCACCTCTTAAATATTCGCAGTCGGAATTACAACTTAGATTTTGGTTAACAGGAAGGAAAACATGCATCTGATGCTGTGCCACAGACATCCAAACATCCGCTAGAGGGCAGTGTGCCCAATGTGTTCAATTTAATGCCACGATTTTGGGGACAATCCCCACAAAGAGTCAGTCATTACACCATGTGCTTCCTGTACCGCTAAATATGATGATTACCTTGCTGGCAAAGACAAGACTCACAAAACTGTAATTTTTTCCCCCCACATTTTCTCTCAATCGGAACCACGGAGCATACAAAATTCATTTACAACTTTTATCATTCGTATTATTTCTTGTGTTGGTGTCATTTTTATTATGAGTTGTTGCATGAATTTAAAAAAGAAAAGAAGAAAAAAAAAACCTGAGCGAAATAATAATTAGAACCAGGTGCACAGCATCAGTTTAAATTGTACCACCTGATGACGTTTAAAGGTAAATCATTTTTAAAACGCTGGTTCGGCTTCCAACAAAGAAGAAGCTGCCTCCCTCCCTCCCTCCCATCCATCCAGGATGTTTTTCCTCCCCATCCCCTGCCACCCTTTCTCTGCGT